CCCCAGGTGTCCGGCGCTCCAAGGCGGGGTGGGGGGGGCCTGCTGGCAGCCCCAGGTGTCCGGTGCACAGCTGTCACCTGCCCCACTTGAGATAATAAGCAGCTCGGCTGCACAGCCTGCCAGGAACTCTGTCTGGTGAGGGGTCTTCCAGAAGGAAACGGCATTTCCAGAGCCTCAGTCCAGAGCAGGAAGGGGCCCAACCAGAGGAGCCTTCCGGAAGGCCGCAGAGCGGGGGAGCACCCCCAAATCTCGGAAGCTCGGAGGAGCTGCCCCCCGGGTACCGGGCCTCAGCTCCCCCAAGCTGGCTTTGCTGCGTTGCAGGCACCGAGGGCCGCTGCGGGTTTTGACTCGTTTGTGATTGACAGACGGATGCAGGAGGAGGGAGGAGGACGGAGCCCAGACCCGCCGCCCCTCAGAGCGGCGACGCGGGGTGGGGGTGGCCGTCCACATAGGAGCATGTCCGGCTCTCATGTCCACTCCCTCAGCAAACACCCCAGCACCCGCCGTGGGCAGGGCCTGCTCGAGACCCCGGGGAGCCCCGGGGAGCCCGGAGCCGGCGGGCACTGCGGCCGGACCCGTCACACCGTGACCGCTGGGACAGCCGTGGGAGGAGCAGCCTCGTAATCGGTTTCTTTCCTTATCGGGAGGAAGGTGCCTCTGAAGGCACATCTGTCACGGGCTCTCGGCCTCTCTCCTGGGACACCGGGAGAGGTCCTGAGCCCACGCGCCCGACTAAACCAGGCCGCCCGTTAGAGCAGAGCTCGGAAAATCGACGAGCCATCTTTAGCATAAGTGTGTCCCACGCAAATTTAACGGCCTGATCCCTATTTTTGTTGGCTCTGTTTGGCACCCCTACCCTGAGGGGACCCCCTTAGCTGGCTACTCCCCTAGAGCCCGTCTGGGCCTGGGACGGGGACAGAGCAGGTGGGGCCGCGACCCACCAGGCTCCTCTCCGAGAAGCCCGGCTCGTTCCTGCACATCCCTCCCCCACGCGCCACGGTGACACCTGACGGAGGCAGAACTAGAGTGGTGCCGACAGGTGACAAGGTCCCCGAGAGCCAGGCTTCGCAGATCAAGGGAGGCAGGACAGGCAGGGGACATGGCATCAAGGGCCCCGCCCCGCCCAGCGAGCCATCAGGTCCGATCAGTGTGACTGGCACCGAGCTGGCCGTGCTGTCATGGCAGCGCGACACACGCCCTCGAGTGGAGCTGTTTGCGCTGCAGCTATCAAAGAGGACCGTCCCCGAGACGAGCCCGAGCCAGCCCCACGTGTCCCCGCGAGACCGCCTCTGACGGTCCCCTGGCGCCTGGGCTCTGCACAGGCCGGGCCACATGAAATGCCTGCTGCCCGCGGACTGGCAGTCAGTGCCGCCTGTGACTGCTGGTGCCCCCAGTGACTGGCAGTCAGTGCCCCCAGTGACTGTCATGCGCCCGGTGGCTATCGTGCCCCCAGTGGCTGTCATGCGCCCGCGGTGGCTATCGTGCCCCCAGTGGCTGTCAGTGGCTGTCATGCGCCCGGTGACTGTCAGTGCCCCCGGTGGCTGTCGATGTCCTCCCTTAAGGGGCACGCCCTCCTGGTCAGGCCTGCGGAGTCTCCTAGTCCTTGGGCCGCGCTCATGCCACAGCCAGCCCCACCGGTGCCCCATGCTGCGCCCCACCGGGTCCCCAGCGCCCTCCCCGCACAGGGAACCTCACGTTCTGTCACGGCAGTGCGTGCCCCTTGAGGAGAGTGTGTTGGGAGGGGCTGGGTTTGTCAGGGGGACTCGATTCGCTAATTCCGCACGAAAACATCAGCGCCAGACGCAAGGCGACTCCTGGAGCGGGAGCCATGGGGCGGGGCCCGAGGGGGGCAGAGGACGGGCTCACCCAGGGTCGGCAGGACAGTGGCCGAGGACCCTCCACACCGGCCACACCATGTCCCTCCGCGCCCAGCCTGTGGTCACTCACCCCCTCCAGTTAGCCCTCTGTGGCCTTTCTCACTCAAGTGACCCCAAGGGCCCCTCCCCCGCCCCGTCCCCTGCACACGCCGCCTCGCTGTGCCCTCTGGCCTCCATGCACCCGCGTGCACATCCTCCAGGCCCCTGCTCCTACTTCCTCCTCAGGGAGAGCGCCCCGTGCCCAGCCCCCCAGAGCCCCCGCTCCCTCTTCGCCCTCAGTAGAGCCCTTCCCGCCTCGCTGTGTCCTGCACAGCTCTTTGTCCTTCGCCATGAGGCTGTGCGGCCAGGCCCCCTCCCCCGGCCTCATCCAGAGCTGCCCACTGCCCTGCTCCGAAAAGCCACGTGGATGTGCTCCTTCCTCCAGTAGGGACACCGTGACCCAGGCAGAGACAGCCCACCCAGGGCTTCATGTCCCGTCCACCCGCCCCGTGCATGGCGCCCTTGCTGTGCGCCCGGCTGCCCGGCACAGGACAGACTGGTGTGTGCTCTGAAGTCCCCCGCCCCACCCCCAGTGCGCCTCACGAGGCCCCACATCTCGGCTGGATGGGAGGAAGCAGCTTGGAGGTACCAGCCCAGGCAGCCCACAGCCGCTGGCCCCTCCATCTCTCAGCTCCGTCCCCTGTGGAGGCCTGGCCTCTCCTGTGGACCGCTGCCTCAGGTGTCCGTCCAGTCAGCCAAGGGGTGCGTGCAGGGGCTCAGCTCCGAGCCTCCCCCAGGGAGATGCCCTGGGTGTGCCTACTGTGCACCAGGCACACTCATCACCAGGTGCGCTGGGACAGCACTCTGGGGCAGCGAGTGTGCAGACGGCCAGGACACTGCCCTGTAGTCCGCTCCTCCGCCCGCCGCCTGGCAGGGTGGAGCAGGCACTCGCTGGGGCTCTGTTCGCGGCGAGGCCAGGACCCCTGAGGCCAGCACAGGATGGGACACGCACACCCCAGCCACAGGGGCATCCGACAGTTGCTGGCAGGGGTGTAGGTGCATCACTACTCACCCCCCAAAATAACCTAATAAGACTCGGTTTTCCCTCGAAACCAGAACCCTTGGCCTGGCCTCCAGGTCCCACCCTCGCCCAGGGACCTCTGGCCCCTGTGCCCTGGCCACCTGGTGCCTTCTGGCCTCAGACAGCCCTTGAACTTGGAAGTGGCCAACTCGTGTTTTAATGAATTCACTGCTGCCGGCTTCAGGGCGCCCAGCGGCCAGGCCAGCCTGAGGACGGGTCTGGGAGCCCACCTCGCACTGTCTGCTACGCAGGGCTCACGCACCTGGCCTCCCGTGGTTGATGACGTGCACGTTCAGCCGAGAATTGAGGCCCTGGGGAGCTTTAAAGACGTCAGAGCCCCTAAGCCCGCCAGGCCCGTCTTGCTAAGTGAAGATGGGGCAAGTAGGAAGGGATGTCTGTGTCCAGGGACAACGGGCCACCCACCCTCCAGGGACGCTCCAGGGTCCTGCCACCACCCTCGGCCTCCAAATACCATTCTGGAAGGGGATTTGGTAAAAGAGACTCAGTAACAGGGGCCGAGCTGCCTGCCCTGGGCGGGGTGAGCTACTGGCTCCTGCTGGGGTCCCTGCCAGCATTTCCTGCACCCCGCTCTGTCTGCTTCCCACCCCAGACCCAGCTCCCAAAAGCAAGGCCACTGCGCCGCCTAGTGGCGGCCAGCTGCACACACAGGCATACACACCCGTGCTTGCACACCCATACCCACGTGTGTGCATTCACACACGCACGTGCATCTCTGCGCATCCATGTTGTGCTCACAGCCAGGCGTGCACGTGTGTGTCCCTGTGTCTCGGAGGCGGTTTGTTTCTCTGCCTGTCCTCCGAGGCGGTGGCCTGGGAAGGTCCCACGCAGCGGTTATGATGCGATGGCACCTTTGTTCCTCTCTTCTCTGGCTAAACCCCGCCCTTCGCCGTCGGCCTCTGCCCTCTGACCTCTGGCGCTTTCCGCTCTGGCCCCTTGGAGGGGCGGCTGGTTCTGGAGGGCGAGGTTGGGGCGTGAGGTTTGCCGGCTCCTGTCCATGGCTGCTCCGCTGAGGCCCTTCCTCCACCTGCTGGCCCTGACCTGCAGCCCTCACACCTGGCGGTCGCACGGGCAGAGCCCCGACCGCGGCACGCACCGAGGCAACGCATCACCGAGCGGACTGGCGGCCTTGCAGACAGGTGACAGGCAGCCCCCGGAGGTGACAGCTGGGTGCAGGAAGGGCCTGAAATGCCTCCCTGCCGGACCCCGGGAAGACACCGCTGAGGTTCCTCGCGGTCGGTCCTGGGAGGGAGGAGAAATCAGATTTGTAAAGACCCAGAGAAACTTGGGCGAGAAATGACAAAGTTTCCACAGGCGCCTTGTCAGAAAACCGGACTCGGGTTGGAGTCCGAGGCGCCGCGAGCCGCATCCAGGTGCGCGGCCGGCAGCCGTGAGCAGGGC